GGATTGGAACTGCCTTAAGTCAGGCAGGGCCTTTGAGTTCGACAGAAATGAAATTCCTTGGCTGAAGGCCAGGTCAGCCCCACCTTTCATCCAGTTCTGCCCTAGAGAGTGTTAGAATGACTATCTATGGACATAAGTAGCTCTGGGTTTTAAAACAAATACTAAGCAAAAGTCTCAAGTTTTTTTAATAATCATCAATTCATTTTATTCTTTTAAAAAAGTGGGGGGGGAAAGTGCTAGCCTGCCTGTTCATAGCTCAAATTTAAAGCTTTAGAACATTGCAACAGATGTTTTTAATATTCCATTTTTCTGCCAACATAGGAAATCCTGGATTTCTAAGACCTGGAGGGAGTTAATACCATCCCAGACTAAAGGCAAAGACTACAGGAAAAAGTAATATAATATGCTATTAAAGCAACCTTTAATTTAACAAATGTTTTGAACAATATCAAAGAAACTACCGGATCCAAATTTAATCAAAATTCAAATCACTATTTATTTTTAATATTTTTAAAAATATAGACATGGAAAATTGTTTTCAGAGAAAATTTTAAATTATATTTTTCATTATATTTTATGCACCATGATGCTTGCTGACTTAACTTGCTTCAAGGCCAAAATACCAACTATCTACCAATGAAAGTCTGTCTTTAAAAAACAGTCTACAGCATGTACCACAATGTGAAAAAAATCCAAAGTGTTTACATGGTAGAGGTTTTATATGACAAACGGTGGAAGATGAAGGGAGACTTGGTTTTTCTTTAAAGTACTTTCAATATGTTATACAAAAAGCTCACTACCATTGAGTCAATTCTGAATCATAGCACCCATATAGGACAAGATAAAACTGCCCTGTGGGTTCTCAAGACTCTCTCTCTTTTTTTAAAAATCATTTTATTGCCATCATCATTTTCAAAACATTTTCTTTTTGCATGAGTCCCTTGGTATCAGCTCCTCATTTGTTCTCCCTCTCCCCCTCTCCACCCCCTCTCATGAAGGACTGTAACTCTTAACAGGCTAGCCTTATTTTCTCCCATAGAGCAGCAGGTGTTTTTCAATTGCTGACTTTGTGGTTAGCAGCCCAAAGAGTGTCACCAAGGTTCCTATAAATACAACACAAACAAACTCACTGTCATTGAGTAGATGCTGACTCACAAAGACCCTATAGGACTGGGTAGAACTGCCCTTGTGAGATTCTGCGACTGTAACTCTTTATGAGATTAGGAAGCCCAGTCTCTCTCCCATGGAGTGGCTATTGGTTTCGAACTTCAGACCAGGCGGTTAGCAGCCTAACATATAACCACTTAGCCACCAGGAGAGGACTCCCTGCAAAAAAATCCTAGGAAACACAAATCTAATGCAGGACAGAGGATTTAGAAAAGTAGGAGAAAGTTGACTTTATCTGGGAATGTCCACTTACCTTGCTCTAAAAGAAGAAGTTATCAACTGCAGGATGGGGCTCCTACCTTGGTAATGAGTTACAGTCTCAGAAATACAAAGGGAAAGTTATACCCTGTTTTCTATAGGGTTGCTATTAGTCAGAATTGACTTGATGGAAGAGCTTGATTTTTCTCTAAAAGAAAACATTCTATGTTATCTGCATTCCACAATATTGCCCTGCCCCAGGAACCAACACAAGCAGGCAGCTAATTAAAAGAGTCTGACTGGAATCCTTAACCTCACTGCCTGAAACTTATCAATAAATCAAAGCTGTAAGCAGTTGCCTCAGATAAGGGTATAGCATCCTCTTTTCTGCTCCTGCATGTTCTGTGCATTTGGAATTATTCCAATTGTACAAGGGAAATGTGCTTCCTCTCCCAGAAGCAGTAGCCCACTTAAATCGATAAGTTGGCAGAGTTGTGAAATCAAGACTTAAAATCCAACCTCTCAGAATCTTTGTGGGGAGAGAAGACGATTTCAAAGCAACAGTAGAAATATCTGGTGGAAGCAATCAACATCTCAAGAATGAGTGTTAGAAAATGAAAACTGTAAATAAAAACTTAAAATAAAACCCTTAGCATCAACCCCCATATGTCCTTACCATAGGTGTTTCAATGTTCAGTGGCACACAGGGTCGCTATGAGTCGGTATCAACTCAACAAGGCCCAACAACATGTTTACAGACTTGGGCAGGGACTTACCACTCTGATTATAAAGTCTCTCTTAGAAGACTCCTCCAAATCCATTATCTATCTGAAATTCTAAGTCAGTGTGGATTTGGGGGTGATAGACATATGGGCAAATGAAATATCTTCAATGTAGCTTCAATGAAATCAAAAGTATCTCCTGAATACCTTCAAGGTTTCCAAAACAGATTCACATTCGATGGGAGGCAATAAATTGTTAGAATAAGATTAATCCACTAATCTCCGGGAATATATGATCAAATTAAGGAAGAAATATTTAAATTGCAAACACATTAGTAAATTCACAGGGCAGCACATAAAGATTTGCTGAGTCATGTGACACTGTCCTAAGACTCAAGCAGAACAGGAGTAAACAGCAAGCTGAGGGGAAGCATATGAATTACTGGGTGAAAAGGCAGAGGACAAAATGTATATTAACTTTAGTCCTGATTTTGTGACTTCTAAAAATCCATCCATCACCTTTCTCTGTCAGTGAATCCACCATTATTGAGAGTCTACCATATAAAATGCACTTCAGTAACAGTGATTTCCCAATTAAGAATGAGATTAAACCACCTGAAGGTTATACAAAAGGCAGCTCAAAAGGAAAAAACTACCTCAAGTTAACATAAACCAAACAAAAAAGTTGTTTTCTTGAAAAGAAATTTCTTAAAACTTGCTTTTGGTATTTCAACATTTCCCCAATCAAAAACAAACTCAACATAAATTAAACCAAGCACAAGTTTTTACTACTTATATCAGTCCTAATGTGGTAAAACATATATATATTTTCAAGTTCCATACTCTTGCTACCTCCTTCTTCCATTTGAAATCAGTTGTTTTTTGCTACTAAAAACAGTACTTCATTAGACAGCTGTGGAAATGGCCTGAGCCATCATAGCTGGTTCATGATAGCGCCTTGACTCCATCTGGCAGATCTACAATGTGTGCATCAGTACTGCCTTCTGTCTGGTGTATTCTCAATCTCTGCCAAAAGCAGTGGACAGAAAGCACAGATGGACAGGACATCCTCAGATTATTTAGTTTGCCTAATGTCATCCTGCGGGGGGGAGAGGGGGGTGTCTTAAGTACTGGGTTCACAGATATTCAAACGGAACATCCTAGAGCTAAGGGCTAGCCTACCCCAGTAGTGGTTGTCCAGTCACTGGGCAAGCTTGGAAGTCCCAAAGCCTTTGTTTAAAGGGAAGTTGGGAAATCCTAGCTTTTCAGGATTTACCTGCTCCCTCCAATATACCTCTTGCATTAAAAGAAAGTGGGAAAGTGACCCCATTTAGGATAAAAGTGCATGCACATCTTTCCTCAAATGACAAACAGGATCAAGTACCTCATATCTGTTTAGATAAAATAACAATAGATGAAATCTAGAATTGTGAGAGCCCCTCAACATAATTCTAGTGCCTCTGATGTATGGATGTATAATGTTTAATTGTGAGGATGGTGCAGGAGTGGGCAGTGTTTCATTCTGATGTGCATAGGGTCACCATGGGTTGAACCAACTTGATGGCACCTAACAACAATATAATGTATGTGGCATAGTGAGTTATGGTTTGCACTGCTAACTGTAAGGTCAGCAGTTCAATACCACCAGTTGTTCTGTGGGAGAAAGATGAAGCTTTTTACTCCCATGGATTTACGGTCTCTGAAACCCACAGGAGCAGTTCTACTCTGTCTTATAAGGTAACTGTGAGTTGTAATTGATGGCTGTGAGCTCTTGTTCTTTTAGTATAATATATGTATATTAAGTAACTGCACATTCCATCCACTTCAGTAAATATGCCAGAAGGAACAGTGAATGTTGAGTCTGTACTAGGTTCTGAGACCACACTAGCTTTTTTGCGATGTCAAATCATTAAACCCAAACAAGCCTATTACCTCATTTGGGAAAATACTGGGATATTTGCTTGGTTACAGTTGGAATTTTAAAAGCCAATAAATAGAAATCCTGGTAGCTGCCAGTATTATTATTATTATCGTTATTCAGGTGAACGAGATCGACAAAGCCCAGTACTCTTGTAGCTTTTAGCCCAAGAGGAACATACAGTTAAACAGTGATCATAACAATAATACTAAAGAGGAAGAGGAGGAGGAGAAAGGACTTTCTATTAATAGCTATTGTTAGGTCCCATCGAATCAGTTCCGACTCATATTGATCCTATGTATAACAGAACAAACAAATGCCCAGTTCCGCTCCATGCCCCTCCAGCCCACCAGTTGCGACATGAGGAAAGGGGAGGCTTTCTGCTCCCATAAAGATTCACAGGGGCAGTTCTACCCTGTCCTTTTAGGTCCCTATGAATCAGAATCAGCTGAATGTCAGTAGATGGGCTTGACAGTCAATGGCCTTTTCAATATTCTCCACCAACTCTTCACAACTAACACAGCTGCCACTTACTGAGAACTTACTTTGCCTAAAGCATTATTCTCAGCACTATTATTAGCTTATTAATCAGTTATTACCACCAACCTTTGAGGTCAAGGATGAGGGATAAGATAGAGCTAAGAAATATGTGGCACTGCCTCTCTAAACTCCATCGTGAAAATGCCTTCTTAGGATTAATCAGATTACCCAGGTGAAAGGAAGGAAGGATATGGGGTTGGGACAATGAAAGGTGTTCTGAGCACAAGAATGTTCAGGTATGACTGCCCAGAGTTGAGAATGTAGATGGTACAAACACAGACTTGGAAGAAGTTCAGTTTGGGCAATGTATATGTGAGGTGTAGAGGTGATCGCTGAAGCCAATCGTTAGGTAGTTACTAGAGTGATATAATAATAGAAGCATTCTGGAGAGGCACAATTTCATTAAATCCACAGTAGGGCAGCAGGTTGTTTGGCAAACTGCTGGAAAAGCTCACCTGTTAAAAGCAACTTGTACTGGGGGATCCTTTGGACGGGCTTGAGTAGGTAGTGCTTGAGGGCCAGGCTAGCACAGCGTGGGTTCAGCTGAAAGAAAAAGGCAACATAGTCAGCACGGTGTTCTGAAAGACCTGGCGTTCCACTTCTGAAACATCATCTAGTGAAAGCCTAAGGGGCAAACTTCTATTTGACCCGTGTGTGGTCCCTGTGAGTTGGAGCTGACTCAATAGCAATGCGTTAGGTCCACAGATGCAATTGCCTAAGAAGCTAACTTAAAACAACCAGCACCTGGGAAAGCACCCATTTTTTTTATGGCACAGCTTTTATAGTATACCAGTTATGCTAAGACAGTGGGACAGTAAGTAGCATAAGGTGACCAGATTTTAACATTGGTAAAGCAGGGCACCATTGATAAAACTCATATCCTGGCAAAATAGCCACATGGCAGCCAAAAATCGTATACCATACCCTAGCTTGGCGTGCATTCTTCCAAAAATCAGGACTTTTTAAAAACACCACGGGGCACAGGAAAAATTCTTAAAATCGGGACTGTCCCGCCAAAAGTGGGACGTCTGGTCACCTTACTGAGTAGCAGGATTCACCATCTGGTATGCCCTCTCTTTTAGGCAGGTCTAGGAACTCTGTCCCCGAGGCTGCTCCCAGGACGGGGCAGCCAAAGACTGAATTTGAGGCCAGCTAGAGCCTACGCCCCTCAGCAGCATCTATTTGGAGGAGCCTACGAGGGGTACCCCCCCCAAAAAATGGAATTTTTTTCCTCCAAAGCTACGTATTTAAATATTTTTTACAAATCAACCTTATCACCTTCAAAGTACTTTCCATTAATCTTGATATATTTGTCAAATCTGCAATTCCGTTCTTGGAAACATTTTTCAAACTCCTATGTTTGGATGGCTGACAGCACCTCCCTCATGTTTTTCTTCACCTCTTCTATGTCGTCAAATCTGTCCTTTCATGTCCCTCTTCACTTGCAGAAACAAAAAGAAGTCTCGTGGAGCAAGGTAAGGTGAGTAAGGTGTATGGGGCTAGAGAGACATGTTTTTTTGCCAAAAACTGACGCACTGAGATGGCTGCATGACCAGGTGCACTGCTGTAATGGCAAAACCAGTCCCCTTTCTGCCACAAATCAGGCCTTTTTTGTTGCACTCTGTTACACAATCTTTACAGAACCTCTAAACAGAAAGCTTGATTAACAGTCTGTTCTGGTGGAATGAACTCCAAATGCACTATGAGTCGACATTTTTGTCCCTTCAGGAAGTTGACAGATGCCCAAAATAAGGTTTGTCACCAAATGACATTTCACCTTTTTTGAAACAAGAAAACCACTCATACACTTGAATTTTTCCCATAGCACTGTCCTTGTAAACCGTGTTCAACATCACAACAGTTTCTGTGGTATTTTTCCCAAGCAGGAAACAAATTTTCACAGCTGCATGCTATTTTCTTAAATCAGCCATCACAAAATAATTAGGTTCAAGTGAAACTGCTTTTACGAAAAAATTGACTGTGACCAGAGAGAACCTTCCCAGGCAATGCCACGGGGTGCACTAACTCAGAGTGAGTTGCTCTACACTCGCTTGGGGTGGTGGCGGGGGAGTTGCGTTCTATGAAAACTCCGCCTAGCAGAGCTTTTCCCCATTTGGGGTGGGTGGGGTGACCCTTGTATTAAAAAAAAAAAAAAAACACCACAAGGGGACAAGGAGAAAATGCAATGCTCTAAAATTAAAGTGGCAGAAATAAGACCACTGGAAATGAATGGAAATAATGAAACCCTCGTGGTAAATATATTTAGGTTAATAAGATAATAAGACAGAAGGTAGGAAGAACTGTAGAAATGACAGATAACGCCAAAACAAGCCTTGCCACATATCCCCACAAGCCTGAAAAACAAAAACCTAGCTCACTGCCATCGAGCCCATTCTGACTCACAGTGACCCTACAAGACAGGGCAGAACTGCTCAGGTGAGATTCTGAAGAAGAAAGCCTCCAAACCACTGAGCCTGAAGGATGTAAAAATTCTTTCTCAGGTGAATGGCTACACATGACAACCTTCAAAATTATACTGGGTAAAGGAAGAGACTTCCTGGAATCGTTTTTACTCAAGCACTAGGACATTTTCACCCTACAGTGAAATCTACTTTTCTTAGTATGTACAATAGACATCTCTGTCTATTACTGAACACTCTAACCCAGGTATTTGCTGTGAGGTGTTATCAAAATGGTCAGGTGACAATGCCGCTGCACTCTAAGGGCCACAATAAGACATCCTTACACAATAGGTAGATCACAGCAGTCTTCCTCTCCTATAGGGTCAGAATCAACTCAACGGCAGTGAATGGGTAGTGTCTGGCACACAGAGTAATTACAAAATTATGAGGATAATGCATATCAAGACACCATTCTTCACGTAAGCACCATTAGTCAAGAGAGCTAAACGTCTCCATCTTTTATCTTCACTTGTTATCAAGGAAACTGAGTAACTCACTGGACACTGAAAAATCTGGGCCATCGGTTGCCATAGCTATATCATATTTCATTATTTAATCAGTTAAAGATACCACAGGAGGGGAAAAAATGGAAGACGAAAAATGACTTTTAAAGTTCAATTATTGGTCCCCAGTACAATTTGGAAATCAGCAGTGTACTCAAGTTATGGCAAGCATCTACAACTGTCCATTGACTTATCTGAGGGTGGGACGTACATCTTATCATCAAGATGTACTACATGCAATGTTGCAGTACTGCTGACTGACAATCTGTTGGTATTATCATTCCCAGATGGTTTTCTGTCATGTTTCCAGTCCCAAGAGACATATAAAGATAAGAATATGAAGATTTTAAAAGGTAGTAATGAGGACAACAAAAAAGAAAAGAAAAATGAGGAATCTGACTTATTTAGATACGGATCGACTTAAAAGGGACTCACGCTAATTGACTCCCAGCCTAAGTCGAGGACTCCCTACAACTTTTTGACTTAGATGATCATGTAATGATTGTGGTCAAGATTGTGCAACACTTCTTGAGATGTCTGAACTATTGTATCTGTTTGGATTGTGTCCCAATACAACTGTTAAAAAAATAATAATAATGTGAATTGCTCCCAAAAATTATGGGAGAGAGCTTACATAACACTTTATAGCAATCAGTTAAAAATTAAGAAAAATTGTTCCTAATCAATTTTTAAATCAAAACACCAAGCTCTGGAATGTATACTATAGTTATATGGCTGATTTTTCTTCACTTTAAAAACTGAAACTGTACTGTTTATTTATGGGAAGGGAAAATTTTTCTTATCCATCATTGTAGGTTGTTAGAAAATTAAAAGAGGCTGGGTTTAAAATAAAAAATGTCCAACATTAGATGCAGTCAATACCTCAAAGTCTCTAACGACAGCAGCAAAGGCTGGGTTTTTCTTGCACTGCTCATCCAACAAAGCTATGTTCTTATCAAATTCTTTGATATAGGTGGAATACATTTTTAAATATGGTCCCTTCTTTACAAAAATATCAGCAATTCTCTGTTGTTCAGTCCTAAGGGTAGAGAAAAGATACATAATATAAAGTCATTGGTTTATCCAAAATACAAAATGAACAAAGACCTATACACAACCCATAGGCACTATCTTCTTTTTCTTCCTTCTTATAAAACAGATCCCTAAATGCTTGCTTTTTACCATTTCCATATGCCCTGTCTAGTTCAACCCACCATCATTTCTTGCCTCCTACAGGGAATCACAGAAAACTTCATTGTGCTCACGCAGAATCTAAACACAGAGCAAGAGGTAATCATTCAAAGAGAATACCACATGGTTTAAAATAAAAAAGGGTGTGAATGAAGGTTGTATCCTCTCACCAGACTTATTCAATCTGAAAACTGAGCAAATAAGCTGAGAAACTGACTTATAGAAGAATGCGACAGCAGGATTGGATGCTTATTAACAACCTGTGATCTGCAGATGATACAACCTTGCTTGCTGAAAGGAAGAAAGACCTGAAGAAGCACTTGCTGATGAAGATCAGTAGGAAAGACAACTCAATGTAAACAAAGCCCAAATCGCCTCCACTCAAGTACTTCCTCAATGCAAGAATACTTTCTTCTATTAAATTGGCATTCTATGATGCTCACCTTCCTGACACAACTACTGAAGACA